TTTCCGCTGATACAGAAACGACTACACCTCAGAGAATTGATGTATTTTTAGCGTTTTTTTGTTTAAGTTGTTAGTCCTTTAATATGTCAAAGGCCTTTTAAAGGATAAAAGAACAGAAAATTAAAAACTAAGTGTAAGACTATACTACACTTTAAGAGTACAACTTTACAACAAGCTTTTCAGGCGTTCAGCGCTTTTTAGACTTTCAGAAATAGCTGAATTGTGTAGGTGAAGGCCTGAAAACCGGCAAACGCCGGAAAAGCTTGTTGTGGAGTTTTACTCTATCCCTATCTTGTACTTATTGTATTCTATTTTTCTTCGATATATATTTCTTCTGCTTCATGCGATGATGGCTCTTCTCTACAGCCTTTCGCACACCTCTTTCAAACTCGAAGGCACCATGTAGTTGAAAAACGCCTAAATAAAAAATAAAATTGATTAAAAAATGACTTCGGCTTATTTTTGTTTGCAATTTATTTACCTCTCAATACTTTTTCTATAACATCCAGTTTCGCTAACGCTTGCCTTTCTCCCCTTCCATCCCAATTGAAGGACTCCAGGAGAGTATCTGTAAACAAATTCCGAAGGACTCCTTCGACCTCCTCAGATGTGCCCTTCAGCTTATGACAATATGTTGTCTGCAGAAAATAACCATACAGAAAGAATATATTAACATAAGAAGGTAGAAAGATTATGCTCATTTTTTACCATTGCTTGCGCGAAGTGAGGTTCCTTTAGTTTTTCCTCAACCTCCAATACCGATTCAAGGGTGTTGATTGGGAGCATTCTGGCCACTTCGTCAAGGGCGTCGTCTCTTAACTCCCCAGTCATTAGGCAGACTGATCGCTCTACTTTTTTTATCGCGACCTTGCATTCGCGGAGCAAAGTGTTTTGGGCAAGGGTTTCAGATTTATCAACGTACTGTTAAAAAAAAATAAGGTACATGTTTATATATAAGTTTTAAATTTTTATAATTATTTCTTACATCGTGACTGAGTTTTTCAACCTGCTCACTTATGACACCTTGGTTGTGGATCAGCGTTCCCTGCACTTCCCCCAAAAATTCCAACTTTGAGTGTATAACAGTTTGCTAAAAGAAATATTTAAAATAGATACATCTATTAACACATACATATTTATTTTTTGCAGTATGTATATACATATGTATATATATATATATGTATATGTTTATATGTGTACTATATTACATTCTATAACATAAAACATAGTCGAAGTTTAAAACTTTGTGGACAATTCAGGAAGATTTAACATATTTATAGAATGTACTATATTTATATATACATATATACATACATATGCAAAAAGTAAATGTGTGCTATTTACGTGAACGCCACTGTATTTGAAGGAATATCGCATGTACATTGGTGCACAAAATAATAGGAGTGTGGAATTAGAATTAAAAAATGAATTTTTAAATTATAAGTAGCCAAGACTGGTAAAATAGTCACACTCGTATTATTTTCTAAGCCACTGTATATAATAAAGTATGGAAATTAGCACAAAATGTTTTTACATACATTGGCTTCCAACGTCGACAACTTTTCCCCTATCACCATTTGGTTTGCCAAAATTTGTTTTAGCATTCCCATCATCTCTGAAATGAAAAAAAAATATATACATATTAAATTGAATTCAGCGGTAAATTTTAAATTACCGTCATTAAATGCTACAGATGCCACTGAACCTGATTCAACCTGAGGTGCTGTTGCTGAACCGCTTATTGGGGTTGACGTGGTTGTCTGCATAGCATTTTCAGCTGAGGTTATGTAGCACTTTTTTTGTATAATAGACTCAAGATCTAAGACAAGAAAAATTTGCAAACATGTGCGTAACTAGAGAAAAGTTGTTTTGCTTACCATTTTGTTCCTGACTCTCTTGAAAAAGGGAACTTTCAAATAGGTTGCTAATGTTAAAACTCATGTAAAATTATATAAATTTATTAATTTTATTGTTTTTTATTACTTCATTTAAACGGAATGTGCGGTATTGTGTGAAAAATCGTGAAACAAATTGTGTAAGAGAGGAATCAAAAGAAATTTTCCAGAGTTAGGGATACAAAAATATTTATAGTCAATGTCTTTAATAGCAACTTCAACTACTTCAGCACTTAAATTACTAGCGAAAACTATTCCCAGACCACTGGCGGAAAGAAGAGGTTCCTCAAAATAATTTTCTATTGTCTGAAAAGCGTTACAATGAATTTTATCTGACTCGGATGACTTTATAATGTTAAAAGCTTTCAAAGGTCCAATTTTTTGACTAAAACAAAAACAATCTTTTTCTTTAAGAGGATTTATCTGAAATGATCCAATCGAAGTATTGTTAAAATCAGAATTAAGTCCTTGTCTCTCATTGAGCCTTAAATATATTTGCTGTAAAATTTGACTGGGCTTGTTAACCAGTTTTTTAAGGAACTGCATATAGTTTTCGAATCTGTACGCTGAAAAGGAATCTAAAGGGCCAAACTGTTTGACACAATCTGACAAATGAAGCAAGCCGTGGATATTGAAGCTAACTAACTCATCACCATATATGCTACCGAAATAATTTACGAAATCATTTAAGAGTGATTGGGCAACGTTGGCCTCTGTCTTACACGACTTCTCACTTGATAGGAGTCTTATACCGCTATGCAACAACAAGAAAAGGTAGTATGAGTCATTATTTATGCAATCTTTTAAATCTTCTGAGCAAAAATCTGCCATAAAACTATTAATGTTTTCCGGCTTTTTAAAACCGGAAAAACAAGCGATCATAAATGGTGGGACATTAGGGAAGTCTGAAAGCGCTCCAAGTATGGGCCACAAAACTCTATTCGAACTCTTAAAGAGTTGTAAGCCATCAACACCCACATCGATTAAGACTTCTTTCATATTTTCAACATCGAATGAGTTCGAAAGAAAATACTTCTGTATACCTATGTATAAAAACTCGCCATTGGGAATATTCCTAACGCTAACCTTTTGCCTGCTTGTATTTAGGAGAGTTTTTGCGGAAAGGGGTAAACCTTCAACTCCTATTCTGCGCAAAGTTTTCAGCAAATCATCTAATGCATTTTGAGATGCATTGTTCCTAATGGCCCATAGCCTAATTTCTTCACTTTTTTGTACAGAGTCAACACTTAAATCATCTAAAGATCCTGAAGTTAAAGGCTCAGTATCAGGTTCAACTAATTCAAAATCTAATTCAGAATTTTCACCAACAGACGGATCACGCAAGGATCCTAATGGTAAAGATTCAGCAACTGCATCACCACCCAAAATTTCGGTGTCACAGTCGACTAAAAATAAAGAACTAGTCGACGCAGACTGTACAGGGTCAGATGTAACGCCTTTCCTGAGGAGAAGTTCACTATTTTCACAATCACTTTTAATATATTTAATTTTATTTTCGAATTCACTTTTTTTCACACTTCCCACACATTCCGCGAATTCCTTATATTTTTTAACATTGGATTCGAAAATCCTCTTTTCCTTATTTAAGGAGTTTTGAAAAGCCCGTTTTTTCATAGTACACTTATCTTTTATTATTATTTCCTTTTAATATGCCGCTTCTAAATAAATGCTTCTTTTCACCTCTGAGTTTTCACAAAGAATGCGCGTGGGTTCAGAAATTTCGCAGTTCTGCCAAATTTTTGCAGATACAATCATTTGATGGATAATCTGTCGGTCAGTAGTGATAAAGTCAGTAAATCGGTTCTCTCATTCTC